TCACCGTATGGGATGTACCGATATTTGGCCACCAAACATCGGCCAACAGCTTTCTGAAGATTATTTTGTCAAACTTACAGCGATAAAGCCCTGACTGTGAAATTACACTGCATTTAAAGCTCTTATCAAGCACATTCTCTACATGCTTAATCACTTGGATTTTAGATTATGATGTTGTACCACTGGTAGGGAGTTCTGTTCGGGACCGGGTAAGGCGAAAACAACAGTCACAAATCGCGTGTACATTTGCTATAGGGCCCGCATGACAGCTCTTTCGCCTGACTTCGAGCATGTTTCTACATGTATCTGATGTCGCCAGTACAGTCTATATTCCCTTACCGATGCTATCTTTCGGTAGCTGAGGTCATGACCTTTCCATTGAAATGATGCTACACATGCCGTCATATGCCTTTATTCACAAAATAACGACATCCTTGCTTTGCGCAGCGGCATAGATAGCGAAGAACTGATCTCGACCAGTGGTAGGGGGGGGGGGGAGGTGTGTCTTCTTGCATGTACACATTGAGGGTGAATCGCTTAAGTAAAGCAATTTAAATGGGGTAAAGGCGGGGTTCGTTCGCGCAACACGTGCGATCTCCATGTGCGATGGGTGCATTAGAATACATTAATTCCCGTAGCTATGCAGAAGACGTTATTTCAGTAACATCCGGTGCAAGCCAGTGTGAACACAGCTTTAATTTGGTGTTTATTCATTTGTTTGTGGCGGACGGACCTCTGTCTGGCGCTATCCCGTCTCTGCCACGTCTCGTACCGTGCCATCAACAAGTATTTCCTGTCCAGATTCTCACCATCAGGTACATGAGTTGTTTCTGATCATTGCGCAACCTTCATCAGGTTTGGCGCCAAGGTGCTTTCTCTCTCCCTCTTCACTCCTGCTCTAGTCTTGCGTTTCTGCAGTAACTCTGAATTTCACTGGTTAAACCGTTAATCAGACAGCAACTTAACTACACTGCTCTGAAGATATGATTGATATAGGTTGCTGCAGGCTTGCAGAATGGCACTAGCGGACGAAACGGGCCAAAAGTGTAATTATGATTGTGTGAGTTGAGTGATGTTTTTTTCGCTGCTCCATTCTTGGGTACCGGACAGTTCTGTGCACTATCTTGATTTATGTCATCAGCCAGTACTGATACATGTATTGGTCTTCCTGCTTGCTGCATGTTCTCAATTCCAGCTAAGGGGTCGTTGTGTTTTGTGAGCACTATTCTGTACCAGTCTACCCGAAGTCCTCATGGCTAGCACGGGTACCCGACTACCCGTGCACACCACTAGATATTTGCATTGCACAGACATGCGTGCCTTCATTCAGTTTTCACCCCTGCAATGATCAGAAGTACATACCACAACTCAGTCCACTTCTTAATTGAATATTGCTCAATTGAACCATGGGAAAGCAACAGAAATATAAATGCCAGAATGCATTTCTACGTGTAGAGAGAGAGAGGGTGGAAGAGAGAAATAGAGACAGAGAGGGAGAGAGAGAGAGAGAGAGAGAGAGAGAGAGACCGACAGACAGACAGAAAGAGACAGAGACATAGACAGAGAGAGAAAGAGGGAGAGAGATGGTGAGAGAGAGAAAATGAGAGAAAGGAAGAGAGAGAGACAGAGAAAAAAGTTAGAGAGAGATAAAGAGAGAGAGAGGGCGAGAGATATAGAGTCGATGAGAGGATTAGAGAGACAGACACAGAGACGGAGACAGAGAGCCAGAAAGACACAGAGAGAGCTTCGGGCAGAGATTGATTGATAGAGAAAGAGATAGAAAGAGAGCTAGAAAGGATGCGAGCGAAAAAGAGAGAGAGGGAGAGAACGAGAGATCGAGAGCAAGTGATATGGCAAGAGAAAGTGAGAGAAAGTGTGAGTTAGACGGCGAGAGAAAGGGTGACTCTGATAAAGAGATAAGTTTTATTTCGAAATACAAGAGAAAGGCAGACGTAGGAGGCCAACATCTTACAGCGTAAGACGGGAAGTGTGAGTGTATTGATGAAATTCAGCGATGATTACAAATAAAGCTGCTGTTCTTTGTAGAAATGTAGAAATGAGGGGGGGGGGGCAGAAAACTTTCTTTAGAGCATGATATTGTTTGGGAATTAGTGATTTGTGCACATAACGTGAGCAGGAAAACGTTCCCTTAACATTATTTCGCTTAAACTTGCGGGAGATGGTTTCTATTCCAGGAACATTGCTTCTCGAAAAGTCATTGAACCAAAAAGTGCTACTGGGCTCTTGAAGACAGCAATAAAATATATTTATAAGGCGATGTTTATACTGCTGTACATTCTAGCAATACGGATAGATACATAGAGGCCGGATTTCCAGATTCATGTGCAGAGCCACACTCGCAGGGACCTAAATATAAGAATAGTATAATATCTGCCCAAATCAAACCATCTAACGATCCTGTGTAACAGTCTCCACACTGAATGGCATGCCATAATCCCTTAGAGATCCAGACAGATAGATATGTACTGAATAATGAGATGTAGTTGGCTGATAGTCCTGACAATGTGAAACTCGGAGTTTCAACACAGTTTACTTCCTCTCTCGCTCCATCTCTCTTCTGTTGATAGAAAATGGCTGTTATATATACAGACAAATAGAAGAATAGATAGGCAGGTAGATAAATAGATAGATAGATAGATAGATAGACTGATAAACAGATAGATAGATAGATAGATATATAGATAGATAGATCTTTGCGTTATGCAGAGCTCACTGACTTGTCAGTTTGAGCAATCTGGCAAGGTACGTTCGGGCCTGATTGGAAATTTTTATTTCCATTGCTATCAGGTTCAGCCTCATTTTCTCTGTGCTGCGCTGATGAGTTCAAAAAGAACGAAACAGCATGCTGTCCGCAGATTGAGTAGATAGATAGATAGATAGACTCATAAACAGATAGATAGATAGATAGATAGATAGATGGATAGATAGATAGATAGATAGATAGATAGATAGATAGATAGATAGATAGATAGATAGATAGATAGATAGATAGATAGATAGATAGATAGATAGATAGATAGATAGATAGATAGATAGATAGATAGATAGATAGATAGATAGATAGATAGATAGATAGATAGATAGATAGATAGATAGATAGATAGATAGATAGGCAGGCAGGCAGGTGGATAGAGAGAAAGATAGATAGGTAGATAGATAGATAGATAGATAGATAGATAGAGAGATAGATAGGTAGATAGATAGATAGATAGATAGATAGATAGATAGACAGGTCAATTAACGGAAATATGGATGTGTAGAGAGATAGATATTTTAGTTAGACAGATAGAAAAGAGGTCGACAAACAGACAGACAGACAAAGAGGCAGACAGACACACACAGAGAGGCTGAGTGCTTGAACTATAGAAAGAAAATCAGACGGACCTTTAGACAGCCAGTTAGGCAGAGAGGCAGATGGATAGATGGAGAAATAAATGCATGGATGGATTGTTGTTTGTGGATTGCTCGATAGCCATGACACTACACGTTAAACATAATTCAGTCAAGTATTAATGCCAACTTGCGTAGACAGATAGATAGATAGATAGATAGATAGATAGATAGATAGATAGATAGATAGATAGATAAATATACAGCCAAACGTTAAAGAGAAAGAGTGCCAGTTTTGGATTCGGCGTAACTCAAGGTTTCACGCTACTGCACTCATTTAACGACTGAAACTGAAGCGTGTGAAATGCTCTGCACATTATGCATCGAGTTCTTTACAGGGTATTTCCGAAACATTTTCCTGTGTAGATAGACAGAGAGCTAGATAGAGAGGGGAAAGAGGGGTGAGGTAGAGATGAGAAACCTAAGAAGTGAGAAGAGATGTAGAGATTGCGGGAGACCTTGGCAGTGGAGGGGTGCTGGAGAAGAAGCACGAGACTGACGAAGGGTAAGTTAGAGGGACAAAGTGAGGCTGCCTTAAAAAGGGAAGAGTGATAGTGTGGGAGACATGCAAGTGAGGGTACGTTTGATCCTGTATAAATCAAGAAACTGAAACCACACAGCAGTTAAAAGCAAATGAAGTGGAATAATTGTAAATGGCCCGGGGCTTTTTTTGTATTGTTTGAGAGAAAGAAGGAGATAGGCAGTGAGAGAGAGAGGAAGAAAAGGAAAATGATGAAGTGAGAGATAGAGAGGAGAGGCAGAGGGAGATTGGAACAGAGGGTGGCAGAGGGACCCGTGTGGTGCGCTGATCCTCCGGAACAGTCTGAGGACGAGTCCAATATGTTGCACGCCAAAGGTTCGTGTAATGTGCTCATCATCCGTGAATGTTACACCAGTTTATGTTCGGCGCTCGTCACAAGCTCTGAGGATATCGCCACCATATTCTCCTCAAGGAATAGGGGTGCTACGGTGAATAGTTCTACCAAACTGAAGTAAATGGCGATCATTGTAATGATCAAAGCGGATGGACGAATGCAAGAAAAGGATGAGAGCTCTAGGTGATGTTGACTCAATTATTAATACTCAACACGTCGATAGGTCACGGCAGTTGGGACGTTGAAGATTCGCGATTGTGTACGGGCATAGGGCCAGCTGCAGAGATGTCTGCACATCTAACATCACCAGCATTCTGAATGGGCAAAAAACTCACATATACACAACATTAAACAAACATATGATCACTAAACACGCAACAATCAGCATGAATTTATGGGTCTAAACCTCAGTATGGGTTTCGCAATGCAAAAAATCTGCTTTGCAGTCCAGTTGTTACCTTGCATTGCGTTATGAATTTGTTGTTATTTTACACCACGAATTCAAACAGGCAATTCGTGATCCACAGGTCCTCAAAAATTTGTCCGGGAAAAATTAAAAATAACTTTCACGGTTGGTGTGACACTCGGCTAGACGCCGTATTTATAGCTGCCGTAATAACGCTACAACCATCTAGGATCAATGCGAAGATGCAGCTTCTTAGCGGTCGGGGGAAAGCAGGGGGAGTAATGCAAACGGAAGACATGAACGCTGATTTAAGTATCATCCATACCAACATTACCATTCTGGCCTGTTCGGCCAGGTTCAATTGCAGGTCCACCAGCACCGCCATTTCCCTGGTCACCACCTGTACCACCTTCACCAGTGTTAGCATCACCACCATCACCACCTGCTCCACCAAGTCCTCCAGGAACCCGAAATTCACCTATTCCGCCATCACCACCATTTCCACCGTTACCTCCATTGAGACCATTTCCACCATCTCCTCCATCTCCCCCGGTGCCTCCTGGAAAAACACCATTAAAAAGTATTCCTGTACCACCGATCCCTCCTAGACCACCATCACCACCATTAGCACCATTAGATCCATGTCCACCATTTCCACCATCTCCTCCTCTTCCACTAGGCTGGCCTTCGTTAGGAATGCCCCCATCACCACCATTTCCACCATTTCCAGCTCTCTCTCCACCTATTGATGCACCCCCTGCCCCACCACGGCCACCATTATACTGGAAACCGCCAGTTACGGTCACTCTGAGTCCTTCGCTGCTTACACTGCCCCCAGTACCCCCATCACCACCATTAGCACCAGTGGATTGACCACCATTCCCACCCGCACCACCGTTACCACCAGCCGCACGCCCAAATGATCCTGCTCTTGATCCAGCACCTCCGTGTCCTCCACGACCTCCTTCGCTCCCAGAATTGCCGAGTCCACCGGCACCACCGCTTCCGCCATTATTACCGGCACCTCCCGTTCCATTTGGGTTAAAGCCTCCAATGCCAGCATTGCCACCAAGCCCTCCATTCCCAGCATTGCGACCTCCGCTCGAGGCACCACCAACACCACCTTGGCCACCAGAACCACCCCTACCCCCTGTGAAAGAACCTTCAGTACCACCACCGACCCCACCGTTTCCAGCTCCACCACCATCACCACCAATACCGTCGATACCTACTCCGCCATTCCCACCATCACCACCATCTCCTGCGTCTTGTCCATCTTCACCGTCTTCGTTATCTTCACCATCACCGCCTCTTCCTCCTTGGCCTCCAACACCACCATTTAATCCATCTCCACCATCACCTCCACGGCCACCAGGACCACCATTTCCTCCATCTCCACCATTTCCACCAACACCCCCATTGCCTCCTTCACCTCCATCACCGCCTTCACCTCCATCGCCACCTCTACCGCCGTCCCCACCAGGCCCACCCGAGCCACCTCGACCTCCATTTGCACCTATTCCACCAGCTCCACCGTCTCCCCCGTGCCCACCAGAACCAGACTGCGCGCCTCCGGAGCCTCCACTACCACCATTTCCACCATCGCGTCCAGGACATCCATCAGCACCACGACCACCATTTCCACCATTTCCATTGGAAGAGACATCTCCACCATCACCACCAGCACCACCAGCACCAGCCAAGAAACACACACCACCATCACCTCCATCACCACCAGTGCCATTCACTGCAAGACCTCCATTTCCTCCACGTCCTCCAGTGCCAACCATTCCAGAAGTTCCTCCATCTCCACCTCTTCCACCCAATCCGTTTATGGTTCCACCTCCATCACCACCATTGCCACCATCCCCACCAGGGCATCCATCGGCACCACGACCACCAATTCCGCCATTTCCGTCTCCTATCACTTCACCACCTGTTCCACCATCACCCCCCGTACCACCATCTATACAAATACCACCATTGCCAGCGTTTCCACCATTACCAACCCGTGCTGCACCGCCATTTCCTCCCCGTCCACCAATAGCACCAGCTCCACCAGGTCCTCCTTGCCCTCCTTCACCACCATTACCTCTTAACAGTCCGCCATTACCGCCGCCACCTCCAAAACCTCCATTAGCACCCTCACCGCCACTTCCACCCATTCCTCCAATGCCACCATTGCCTAAATCTGAAGCCGAGCCGCCATCACCACCTTCGCCCCCAGCAGTCAAAATACCGCCATTACCTCCGCGCCCTCCATTTCCTCCGTTGGATAGTGCATCTGGTGCTCCTGTTCCGCCATTCCCGCCCCTAGCACCTACCAACAAAGTCGTAAGACCTGCACTATCACCTGAATTTCCACCGTTTCCACCATTCCCAGCATTACCCCCTATGCAGCCATTACTTCCCCGACCACCTCTACCTCCAACCCCATTTCCAAATCCATCTCCGCCATTACCACCATCACCAGCCGCTCCTCCAACCAGGCACACACCTCCTCCTCCACCAACAGCGCCGTTCCCATTCTCCCCACCATTGCCTCCTTGTCCTCCCGTACCACCCAAACCACCGATTCCTGCAGTGCCACCCATTCCACCTCTACCTCCTGTCCCATTGTCCCTTCCATTGCCTCCTCTTCCTCCCGTACCCCCGACAGCACCCACACCAGCCGCACCACCCATTCCTCCTATTCCTCCGTTTCCTTGACTTCCTGCGTTACCACCAGCACCGCCGATTCCTCCATCAGCTGCTATACCGCCACTACCACCCAGTCCTCCTTGACCACCGTCACCCCCTACTTCTCCACCCTGTCCTCCTATTCCACCATTACCTCCGACTGCTAGTCTTCCGCCATTACCTCCAGTTCCTCCTATACCCCCGTTGCTATCGGCTCCGCCTGCTCCCCCATTTCCGCCTTCACCTCCAACCTGCATGGAGATTCCGTTCATGCCAATACCACCATCTCCTCCATTCTGGCCAGGACCACCGTCTCTGCCATTCTCCCCAGCTTGAGCGGGTCCTAAAGTCATTTGGTTGTTTCTAGTCCGGTCATTTTGACTTATTGCGTCATCCCCGTCAGAACTGCTACCTCCGTCGTCTTGTGTGCCCGCAATAGGATCAGACTCACTGTCAGAAAAGGATCTAGCTTGCCTGCTACGCTCAATCGTATTACCAGTGACGTCACCATCCGGCGAAACTGTTAATCTAGCGTTGGCTGTATATAATCTTGGATGACCTGCACAGTGGTTTAACACAATAAACAATGTGTTTGACATCGGGATTGACTGCATTCGGCTGCTGCGCCTGTATTATTATATCTAACTCGGGAACTGAGTCAGTGACTATAGATATAAGCTGACAAATCACCTGGAAACGATTTATGATGCAACAGTGCGACTACCCACCAATGAAACAAGGTAAGCAGTAAGGAAATGCTTCCCCTCATCGGTCCTTCCTAAACCTTGAACCTTTCAAGCTGGAAGGCTATTGTATTCGCACTAAGGTGTGTTGGAGTCATGGGTAGTTGCATTATAATGTTTTCCATGTGATCTATTATATTTGAATAGTGGTCTGCTCAGCCAGCCAGCTCGCAGTCGGTGTGACCAAGCGAGATTCGCCACCGCAGGAGCATTGCTGTGGAACAGTTTGCCTAGAGAGGTGCGCACCGTATCCAGATTGCAAGATTTTAAGCTAGCCTGCCTTCCTTATGTATGCCTGAAATAGGTTGCGTTTCGTCAGGTTTTGACATGTTCCTTTCTTCTCAGTATTCTCGCTCGCATAGTACTCCACTTAAAATAGCATATTATCTCTAAGAAGAAGCGAGGACTAAGTAACCACAATTTGTGCTATATTGTCCACTAAAACCACCATTACTTTTCAATCGGCTTATGCGATAAGATTGGACGACACTGACGCACAGCATTCGTCGTTCATAAGCCATAAAATCTGCTTCGCGTTGGCGAAGCTCGAACGTGAACCGGAGCGGCCAAGAATTGAATTGATCGTCTAACAACACAACATTCCCTTTTAAATTTAGAATTGTGCTAAGTGGAATTCTCACCCATTGTTAGTAACATAATAATCATGTTTATATCTAGAAAGGAAAAGACACTCTGGATACGAGTTCAGAGTAACTCTCCATCACTGTAACATGATACGTTATACAGTCAGAAATTAAACTCGTATCCATAGTGTTATTTTCCTTTCAACATTTATTTATGGCTCAACATCCGAGTTTCAATTAAAGTAATAATGTTTATCTTCAGGAATACGCAAAGGCTAACGGTGATTCTTCCATGTACGCCTAAGTATGTTACCTTCTATATTTTTCATGTATCGTGCCCGGAAAGGTATCAATGATTTGAGGAAAGCAGAGAAGGCTGCGCTGGTAACTGGTGTTACTGCAGTAATAAATATTACTAAATAATCTGATCATGTGAACATTCTACGACACTTGCCTACTGTACTGATGTTCTACACCTGGTTGGCTATCAACTCTAGCACATCTCGGATGCGCACTCCAACAACCTTCCATCTTGGACGGTCCAAGGTGTTTTTCTAACTTTGAACCGTCAAAGCCCGAACACTGGTGCAGTGCGGATCCAAGATGTGATAGAGTTGATTGCCAGGTACCTCGCTCTAACGGTGTTCTTACATGTCCCAAGCGAACAGTAAAAATAGTTCCATTTCGTATTCAACATACGTTCTCTGATCTTATTTTAAATTCAAGCAGATCATCATCTGATCACCTTGAACGTTTCCACCTATTTCTGCTCGAGTTGCAGAAGACCCGAGAAAAACGAACTGAATATTTCTTTTCAGTATATATTTACGTTTTGCTCAATTGTTTTTGCTTCCTCTGATTACCAGGCGGTTATGTAACTTCCTTACCGCCACGACAAGGCTACTCTTACCGTGTAGACTGTTAAACGCGGTACCGTACACTGGGTTGGAACAGAGCGTGAGCTGCATGCTCATCGAGAGAATCCAGTTTGCCAACATCAGAACTGGGATATGAAAAAACCTTGGCAACATTGCCCAAGTTACACTGGATGTCGTCACTGATATTATAAACCTTATACGAAGACACACCCCGTATTCATTTGCTGTTTATCCGTCACTCAAGTCTTTCTTCAACACTACGATATTTTACAAAGGATGTGTCTGGTACTGAAGGACAGCGTGTGGCTATCGTTATATCGTCAATGCAGACAGTTAGGTCTTAGCATGCCTTCCCAGTTCTGGCCGTACATTAGCTCTTGCAAGTGAGAAGTACGTATGTATTTTATTTGCGCGCTGATTGAGCAGTGTGTAGCAATATGCAGAGGAATGGGCGATCTTACTTGTATTTCCGCCGACAGTTAGGTGTTAGCATGCCTTCTCAGGTCTGGCCATTAATAAATAGCTCTTGATGGTGAGCAGTATTTTAAATGCGTGCTGAGGAAGCGGCATGTAGAAACATGCGGCGGAATGTGTGACCTAACTTGTATTTCTGCGATTTGGACAAGTTGATAGAGATAGGCGTTGTTTCCTATCTCAAAGCTACCAAAATCTTTGCAAGTCACAGTACATGTATGTCGTTGGTGTTTAACTTTACTTTTAGGATTGATAATTATGTTCATGATGTATGTACACGTACAAGTGTTTATGCATACCGCAAGCAAAGGGTTAACTCTCACATTTTTATATATCATGCCTTAGGACTATCATCAGACAGAGGTAGTAGTGGGTACAGCTCAGTAATCGGGGCTGGTATGTACAGGTATTACATACTTATTGCTATAGCTAGTATCACGAGTACATGTACTTGAAAGCGTACGGCGCCTGCTGCATAAAAGCGGTTGCGCATTTCTGTTTTGATGAAGATTAGATAGCAACGACAAAGCTAACTCGAAGAAGAAGTAGTCAACCTCTAGGTGTGCACCGGAGAGAAAGTTAGTTATTTTGCCACTTTTTTTTTACTAATAATTAGATCCCAGGTGTGTACGTGAGAGAAGTAGAATAAAACTAATTCTTGTTATTTGCACCGCGCCTACCACTCGGCTACCTGTTACAATATTATGAGCATTGCCTTAAGCATAATCGCAGCAAATAACTAGCATTACCCGCCCATGCCTAAGGCTAGGTTTGCAGCCAGTAACCTTTCCCAGTGCCAGTGCCAGGTAACGTTAGTTGCCCATAGTGAGGCGAACCTCACTATGGGCAACTAACGTTACCTGACAATAAGGCTCCAGGAACGTCACATATTTTCCCATTTCTCATACATGTGAAAAGCCAACGCAAAAAGGAATAATACAGAATGGAGATGTTATGAAAATGAGAACATGAGGTTCGAAAATGCGTTGTTTTATAATATACGAGCCACAATGAGTGCTAAAGTCGTGACAAAGATGGATGAAGCAGTGACGCGAATTTAAATTCAAACGTCTAAAGTCCTAACTGAGCATTGCTATTTAGTTGCATTTACACTATACAAATGTTCACCCCAGACCTCACACTCCAACCTTTAATAATAATAATAGTTACAGTTCGCATGTCACTCATGGAAGGATCCATGGGCTTAACGCATCTGTCAACGAAATCCAGGCAGAAGAGCCGACAAAAGGCATCTCATTATTGTTAGAACGTATCGCAGTAAGAACAACTACGCAAGCGCAGCACATTTTCCACAAGCATCAGCCATTCTTTCTTGTCTAGAGCCAGTTCAAAACAGTCAGAAATATCAATATTGGCGTGCTTTAGATAACTTTTAATATTGTCAATCCATCTGAGATGGGGTCGGCCACGTGGGCGCTTGATGTCCACCAACCTTTAGGTGAAAATAAAGCTCTTTGGCATTATTCTGGACTTATAATCGTTATGTTAGTAGGGTAAAGTACCCCAATGTTTTGCACGATTCTTATTGTAACTCGGATGTTGAGCCATAAATAAATGAAAAAGAGAAAAGGACAGATGGATACGAGTTAAGAGTAGATCTCTATCACAGTAACATGATACTATATACAGTCAGAAAGTGCAAAGCGCTACGGAGATGTGTTGAAGCTAGGTGTCAGGACGTCGAATGTTTCAGTACTCTGTCAGTTTTTTGCCTAGTTATTGCACTTTCTGACCGTATATAGTATCATGTTACAGTGATGGAGAGTTTCTCTTAACTCGTATCCATATGTCCTTTTCTCTTCTATATTCTTATTGTCTTGTTATTTGTCACATGTTTGAATTCGTTGAGTGACAACACTTTGTGCCAGCACCTTAAGTTAATGCATATCACCCAAAACATTCATATAGCATTCATTTGACCATTATTTGGTGTCTCTCGATGGATTTGAGTGACATTTTCACCACACACTCCTGCCATTATGTTGGCTCTCTGGACATGAAGTTCTTGCGCCTCACTGACAGGCTTTGCAGGCCGGAAAACCTCAAAATCCAGGCACAGTGCCACGGTGTGCGAGCTTCCCAGGAGCCCAAAAATGTTACAATATTTTTCACATTTTCCCATTCTGTCTGTTCGCGGGATCAAAACCTAAAACAAGGACAGAAGCAGCCATTGGTGGTGGGATAGGGCCGCTCAACGTGGCCCTTGAGTCTGTCACAACGGCACGAGTGGGCGTTCTCTCACAGACTCACACAGACCCAAGCCAAATTTTGAATTTTGTTTAGGTTCAGGGCGTCTTACGAGGTCGTATCTTTGATACAATATCCAGTGCTGGGATCTCAACAGCAAGCCATTTCCACAGCGCTGCAAACCAAATCCAGGATACCCTCAAAATCGGCAATGACTACCACTCACGTAAACTGCCTAGTACTGAATCCTACCTGACTTCTTGACACGACTCAAACTTGCCGAAGTCACTAAATCAAT